TAATTCAACTCTTGTAGTACTAAGGAAGTGAAATATTCCTTCTAATCAGAGCCTTTATTTCTCTGGTTTTCCGTAGTTTTCTCTTTAACATGCTAAAAATTAAGTTTAGTCATGCTGCCTCTTGCATCGGACAGAATGTTTCAGTGTCTTTCTAGTGGAGCTTTCTATTACGAAAATATTACTTTGGTTCATCATAGTGATTTTTTTTTCTCCCTGAAGTGCTTGACTTTTTTGTATGGCTGGAGGAAACCTGAGTTTATTACCGTCAGGAATAACTGTTAAGTGACAGTTAAGATACTAATAATTTAATATGCTATCTTTGACCTTGTAATTTTTCTTATGAAGGTGCAGTTTTAATGGTTTCAACTCTGTAGCCTCTTGTCGCCTGCAGATGCTACAGACTGAATTCATCACAGCACTCAAGCACAGCCTTAAGTAAAGAGTGTGAGTATGTTCATGATATTTGTCTAGACAATCCTTTGAAGGATGCCTATAGACTGTTTGCAAAGATGGTTTTACTGCCCATAAGGACAGCAAACCCTGAAACATGACCGCAGAACATATGTGCCCAAGCACTCTCACAGTGTTAGTATGTGGAAAGGTGTGTCCAGATGGGCTATTTGCAGGTGATATGCAGCACGTTTGTGGGGCCCTGATGTGGCTGGGCTGCCAGTGCATCTGTGGGCCCGAAGTGGTCCCAGCAGTTTCTAAGAGTTCACTTCTAAGAGCTGTGCAAACACGGTTGACTTCAGTACTGATTTCAGTTGGGGGAGCTAATTCTTTAAAAGTAGTCCTCAGAAGATTAAATGTAGACACGCTCCCCAAGGAGTGGAGAATACTGTGGGCTTTAAGAAGTTCTTTAATTGTTCACATTTGATAATGATGAAAAAGGTGGGTCATTTTTACTATGACACTACTAAGACTCACACCGATTTTCAGTAGGAATTTGGCACTTTCTTCTCTCAAGTACTGTTGAAACTGTCATATACTGGTTGTGCTGTTATTACAATGTGCTGTAAGAGTTTCTGCTGGCCACAGCGGAGAGAAGGACCCTCTATGAGATGCTGAGAGTGGGCTCAGGTGAGGGCCAAGCCCAGTACAGGGTGGGATGTGGTGCCCAGCAAGTAGAAACCTGGCTTCCTGGTGTGTGCCAAGGGTGGTAGCAGGCAACAGCAGCTGGGTCCTAGGAGAAGAAGCTTGGGGAGGCAGGTGATATAAATTATGCACAGCAGAGAAGTAAAACTGCTGTGCTGTGAGTGAGCAAAACCATGTCATTGAAGGTGGAAACCCAGTGAGGCAGTTTGGTTGGGGTCCTTCTTCAACGCTGTCTTATAGAGGAGTGGTCAGTTGCTGCCGTGCACTGGTAGTCGCCCTGTCCCGCAAACAGTAGCGTAGGGGTCTGCGTCTTCCTCGGCAGCCCACTGTTAATTGTCGCTTGTAAGCCTTGTATTGCAAGGACTGTGGTTCCTAATAGTAACTACCTGCTTGCTAGTGTCTGTGGAGTGGCCATGGCCCAAGCTGGCTTCATAAGAGGCATGGTTAGGTTGTGTTCTGCTGCATAATCAGAGGTTATTGCAAATGCTAAAAAAGTCCGCACACTGTGTGTATATAATTAGTTCTTTTTAGTGGTTTGGTAATACTCCATCAGTTTTATTAGTCTTCCAGTCAAATGCACAGCTCACTTCATGTCTCATCTCCACTTCTTACTGTTTTCTGGCATGGGATTCCTTTTACTTAGAATTCATATGATTCATGGGTAACAGGCTTTTCTGTTGAAGTGCAATATGTCTACAGAGGCAGTTGTGACTGCCACCACGCTTGTGACTTAATCTATGTAAAAACTCACAAGAATCAGTGATTTGGAAGAAATTCCCACCTGCTGTTTGTGTAGGATGGCCATCTGTCTGGCAAATCCCTAGGCAGAAGTCAGATATGTCTGAGAAGAGCCAGACAACCTCCTGACACCTGTTTCTCCAGCAGCTGTGGTTGCTTATTCTGCTTTTTATTTTCTCACCAGGTGCTGTTGAGATTGGGTTTTAGATCTGTGTTCAGCGGCTTTTGAATTCTAGACCCAACACTGGGTACAATGAGGGATCTTTCTGACCAAATCACCCTTTCACCTTCTGGGCCCAAATTTTGGGCGTTCATAATTACACCTTAGGAAGTGCACCTGAATTTGGGCATCTCAGTTCAGTCACAGAAATCGATTAATACCCAACTTCTTTAGTCAGTTCTGGAAAATGCCTTTGGAATGGCTGAAAAACACTGAAACGAATTTGCTTTTAATATTGTGGCACCTTCTATTTGAGAATCATCCCACATGTATTCATGACCCTCCATGTAAATGGATTCCAAGATGCAGAAAAAGATAGTGGAAGTGTCAAAGTGGTACTTTTTAAAGATACTCCTTTTACCTGCTATTTTAAATAACTGAGCCATCCATTTTGAGCCCCTGGTAGAATATTTGTTTGCCTACTGAGATCTTCTCGTTCACAAATTGTCCTCAGTTTCTGTGTGAGACATCTTTTGAGCAATAAAGAACAAAGGTTTCATAACTTGGTCTGTGTAAGTTTTGGGGCGCTTGTATTAATTAAGAAGCCTATAAAATCATGCAAGAAGGCATGCAGCCCAGAATGGCTGGTTTGCTTTGCTGTCTTCCATAGTGTCTACATTATAAAAAGTGTGTGACCCCCACGAGGCTTAACGCAGTTACCATTCCAGTGTTAACTCTGAAAATATCTTCAAAGACACCTAGATGAAACTAGCAAAAGATATTTTCTGCAGCTCTAGTGCATGCTCTTTCTGCATGGTACATGCCACGCTGCACCAGACTTCTTTGCTGGAGCAGCAGCCATGAAAAACCAAATAAACACAACCTTCTGTAGATGAATGGTATCTCCTGCAACTAAAGGTTAAGGTGTCATCCAATTAATTATCCTTCCTAATGGATTCGTTGGATTGCTGTGATAGGGACATAATTTACTACCTTTTGTACATCAGCGGTTGTGTTCTCAAAATGGTGTTTAGGGGTTTACGATATTGAACAGGGTGAATTAGATGTCAAATTATCAACCATCCTGTTTGACATTTAGCCAGTGCTGACACGAACTATGCATTTAACAAGATGAGGCTTCTGTAGCACAGTCTTTCAGTAGGATTGTTTTATTTCAAGGCTGTTGTTCATCAAATGTTTCTGTAGAAAATCTGCAAAATAGACTGTTAATTGCATTGACTGTTGTGTTGTGGCCAACCAGACGTTATTGGAGTGTGTTGTAGCTGTCATCCTCCCTGTAGAATGTTGTTGAGGCATTGCCTCCTTGATGGAAAATAAATCATCTGGTAATCCACCAAGTAGTTGCAGTTTGGAGGCAGGTGGTACCCTGATGTAAAGTCTCCAGCTGGGTTAGGGGTGCCTGTCAGTATTTGAATGGTATTTTTGAGAGGAGCAAGTGACCTCTTCAGGCTTCATTATTCCCACAGCTCTGTATACATCCACAGAACTAAGGAGGTTGCTTGACACATGCACTTTTTCAAAGTATATTCCTGTCTGGATACATTTCATTAAAGATTTCCTTCCTACAGTTCCTGCCTGCCTTAACTGACAGTTCTGGATTGGTTGATACAGCTTATGATTTTTTCTTGGCTATTTTTTACTGTGTGCTGGATGACCTTAAATCAGTATGCTTCAAATGCTGCTTTGTGGATTATATCTAAACTGTTGGGTTCTTTTATATGGCCAGCTGCCTTGTCTCCAGAGGAGGCAAAATATGTCTGTTTTCACAGAATGCCCCGTCTAACCATTTGATTGCCTCCTTTGAGCCTCTGATCCCACTGACACAGACCAAAAGCTGCCTTTACTGAATCCACGCAGGAAGAGGAGGAGATGTGGCTGGGAAGCATGTCCTTGTTTGTATCTGTGTTGTCAAATGGGAGTTGCTGCTGCTGTGAGGAACCTGTTTTTGATCTAAACAACTAGCATGGCTGCCTAGAGTGGACCACCCGTTGAATAAGGGTGCAAATGAAAGCCATTGATTTAATAAGTCTGTACACCTAAACACCGAGAAGGTTCTCATAACCCATGAAAACAAAAGGGGACATGCATCAATTTACAAGGCTGTTTACACCTCTTGCTTCCTTGCTCAGTGCTGTAACTCCAGGCAACACAGGAGACGGCAGCAGCTTATTGTGCTGTTTGAATGTATGATCAACCAAGCAAAGACAAAATGAGTTTACGCAATGAATTTGGCAATAGTATTCCAGGACAGAGTGTCTGCCCTCTTCAAACTGCCAAACCCTCTGGCATATTCTCTTGACTTAGAAACTGAAAAATGCACATCAGCATCTTTCCTAGTGAGTTGTCTGCCCCTTGTGTTTTCCAGTAAAAGAAAAATCATTGTTTCAATACAGATATTCTGTCCTTACATTTAAGCTCCCAGAAGGCCTCTGACTATGCGACAAGAATTAGTCATGGCTATTGCATAACAGTTCATGCATAATGTTTAATGCATTCTCAGTTTTATGAAATATGGATAATATTGGAGACATTTTGAATAGTAGTTCAGATTTACACTTTCTTTTTAAGGTGGAAACAAGAGGGACATTTCTAGTACTCTTCAGTGACACTGGAAGAGTAGAGATGGTTACTATTGAAATGACTACAATTCCTAGAAGTGGAAGAGAAAAAAATATATTGCGTAGATGGATTATGGGCAAATCATAAATGATTAAAGCATTTCTGGAGATTAGAAATGCCGTGCTTTTATTCCAACACCATAGCTGTCTCAGCATGCTTCCTCACTGCTCTGTCATGGGTGTGTTGCTGCTTGGTGTGGAAGGTTGGAACGCAACTGAGAGGACACAGTTTTGAAGAATGTTTCTTCTTGTTTAAGGTTTATTATTAAAATGAAAGCATTCAGCATTAAAAAAAAATTGATTTGATGCGTGTGCAACTTCTGTTAAGAGTCAACTCACATTGTATATATTTGTTTTGTGACATACAGGACAGTTTTCCAGCTCGGTTTGGAGGAATACATTTCGTCAATCAGCCGTGGTATATCCATGCCCTCTACACAGTTATACGGCCCTTTTTAAAGGAGAAGACACGAAAAAGGGTATTATTCTATTTAATTGTCCATCACCTGGCAGTTTTACTCAGCAGATGTATCACCCTCTAGTAAAGTAAAAATACACAGTATATCAGCTTGCTATTGGTGGAAAGTATTTTAATACATCTGCATTGTAAAGAGTGTCTCTAGCTGTTTCAGAAACGTACACAGCGTTATCCTTTAAGGACACAGTCAAGCAGTGCAGTGAAGTGTATTTTAAAATGTAAGCATATGCTTTCCTCTGGGTTATGTAAAGAATATTTTCAACATTACAGTTTCTATTAAGGTTCTGTGCAATTCAATACTTTTCAATTTCTATGAAAATTATTTGTGTCTTTCTTTTAGGAGCAGAGGTAGTGAGTATGAAGTCCTTTTCTAGTGTGATTTCCTTGATATTAGCATGAACTAAAATACACAGCTGGTATATAGTAGTTTGCAAATACTGATTTGAACGAAAGCCAATGAAAGGAAATTCGTGTGCATGCATCTGAGCATAAGCACGTGCAGTCTCTGAGATGTTGCTGAATTTGCAGCATTTGCATCAGTGCAATTAAACTGGAGCTTGGTGGTGATAGCACATAGAATGATATTATTTCTGTAACAGGAAGTTTGTCATCCAGGAAAACACAATCAGCATCACGTACAAAGCCACTGCAAAGAATGTGATGATCTTTTTTTTTTTTCCTGATGGGATCAGCTCTCTAAGCAACACTGTATTTTCTCTCCTCAAACATAGCGTACAAGGCCACAATGATCCTTGGTGTTTAGCTGTTTCTTACTGACAGATTGTGCTTGAGTGGCCTCTGGTATTCACAGATTTTGAGCTATAGATCACAAAGCCTTTTATGTGATATCTGTTATAAATACACAAATGAAAATCCATTTTGCAGGATTCAGTTGCACTCTGTTGACTACAGCTTCCACAAAGAACATTATAGTGCCAGATATGTTTGAGGCCTTTTTAAGTCAAGTGCTCTGTATGCATAACGAGGGAGTAAAGTACAGCTTATGGGTATGCTACAACATTAAAAATAAGTGACAAGACAGCTGAACATAGGTGCTAACATTAGTTAGCATCTAAATTTTTATTTAGAGACCTGAATCAGTGGCATATATTTTCATAAATGCTGACCTACAACTGTTTTTGTCAATACCTATAAGAAGTAGTCAGGTGGTTAAATATCGATTTAGGGTCCAAAACTTAGTGTCAAACTGTGAAAGTTATGTCCAGCACGTAAAATTTAAAATCAGCTTTAAAAAAAAACATAAGAGACAGAACAAATTATTGTGAAAAAAACCCCAGACCCAAAAGAATTCTCTTCAGAATTTTATCAGGCTCCTTCTTTGTCTCTTGTGTTTATCCTGAATTATTTTTTATTTTTTAAACATGTCTGGTAGATTTGCAACTGATAGCTATATTCAGATCAATGTAGTACTAGCCGTGTATAAAAACAGTTGCTAAGAAGTGAAACATTCAGTTGGAAAGGCACCATAAAACAAATTACTTTTGCCATTAATATTTGTTCTTTCACACAAGGATAAATCCCTTTCTGAGTTGGAGGAACATTACTGGGCTTGCATGGTCATATTAAGCTTCCTGTCTCCACAGCTGACTGGAAGATGGGCTGAAATAAGCAATACAAGACAAGCATATATTTGTCTGCCTTTTGAATTTAACTCTTGATAAATGATGCCAGGGGTATAGCTGTCCAGAGGAGTCCCTGCAAGGTGAAGTGGGATGTGAATGGATAGTACTTGACGTCTGCCTGCGCACACGCCTCTGCCTGCCCTGTGGGGAGCAAGAGGCAGCGTTCGGCTGTTTGGAGGCTACACCCTGCCTTGCCTTCCGGGCTACTTCAGCCCTAGTACCTTAAAAATGGCCAGGCACTGCCATTCCTACTGTTTGAGCGTACGGGCACTTCCTGGCAGGGCACTGGCTGGTGCCAGCTGGTGCTTTCTTAGACGTTGCCCAGGAACAAATTAGGGATGGAATGGACCAGTGAGCAGTATGTATGAGGTGAACTTGTTACGGAGATGGAAGGGGTTTAACCATATGTATTTGCACTGTGCCGTGGCACTTGCTGCCAGTCCCAAAGAGTGAATCCTGACCCATCTTACTTGCTAGTCTAGAAATAGCTGCTGTCAGCTGTCTAGCCATACCCAAGAGCAGGCATTTCCTCCCAGTGGATGGTCTGCAGGTCCCGAGTAGCTGTGGGAGAAGGATGTAGAAATCCAGAGGTGCTCTGTTTCTAGTGCTCATCGATCACACATTCCAGCTCCCTGAGGAGAAACAATAAGGTTAAATATAAATACAAGTATTCATATACATATACATTTATAGAAATGTAAAGCATATCTGAAAATAAATCGGTCTACCAAGACACTGATGGAAAATATCAAGTAGTTCACCAACTATTCTCTCATTGTTGTCACAGAAATTATTGTACTGTTATTACTTGCTTCATATATTGTCAAGTATGGATGGTGGTTATTAGTACCACCATATCAAGGAAGAAAATCTTTCCAGTGGAGTTTTCATTACACTGCACTATTGATCTTATTTATAGTGGATGGATGCTGAAAGTCAGTACATATTCCGTAATGTATACAGTGAATGTTAAATATATTTATTTTTTATGGTCTTAATTTATTCACTTGATTTAATTCACAGGATTAGGGAAAGCAAATAGCAAGAGGTAGGCAATCTGTCTGTTTAATCTTCAGTCCGTCTAGTTACCTGACATCAGTTCTTACCCTCCTTAGGCCCCTTGTCCTGCAAACATTTAAAGTCATTTATGCTTTAATCACTTTGTAGGTTTATGACCACGCTTAAGGCAGAGGCGATGTGTGTGTTGGTGGCCATCTCTTTTAGCCAACACAGCTAGAATATTGGAACTGTACAATATCCTCTAATAATGATGATGTTATGTGGGCTTGGACAATTTTTGTGATACTGCTTTGTTTTTACCTGCATGTGTACATACAGATATTCCTGCACGGTAATAACCTCAACAGCCTGCATCAGCTAATACACCCTGAGATCTTGCCTTCAGAGTTTGGAGGAATGTTGCCCCCCTATGACATGGGGACGTGGGCAAGAACACTGCTGGACCATGAATACGATGATGACAGTGAATGCAATGCGGACTACAATGCTCCTGCAAAGGAGATTGAAAAGGACCTCTCTCCCAAATCCATGAAAAGGTGGGTTAAAGGTACTGCGGTCTTCTAGTATTTGTGATAAGGTTAACATTTGACTTCCTCCTCTTTTATGAAGTTGCAGGTAATTCCCTCAGTTTATTATATATGAGGACCATTTTTTTTCCTTTCTTAAGATCACTGTTGATTATAGACCATAGTGTTGATTGTTATCCATGCGAGTTGTGAGCTCAGTACAGCTAATTATTTCCGTGCCATATAGGTAGTGTATACAGTACTCTGTTTGGAATAAGCCGATATGCCACCCCAGCCTACGGTGAGTATTAGAGAGACAGTGCTAGCTGGAGTGAGCCTAGGTGCAGAGGATAAATTTGGGCCAATTATCCAGCTGGGTGGTGATGATAAGTCTTACCTTCCTCCATCCCACAGCCCAGTGCCTCATATCCACCAGCCTGTAGGTGCCAGGACATTTACAGCATCTGAACTGCCAGTCGCAGTGACTGCACACAACGTGAGAAAAAGTAACGAGGAGAACCAGGACAAAAATCAGTGCCAGTCGTTATACTCAGGTCTGGTAAACATCCTGGCGTTCTGATATTCTTCTCTTTGAGAAGATACAGTATAATTGCTTGCTGCATTTTACCATTCCAAATAAAGTACAGGGAGAGGTTAGTTACCTCTCCAGTAACTATGGAAGCAGTGAGGTTATTCACTTGGGAGGGGTAAACCTGGTCCAGCCTTGGCAGGGCGGTAGAAGATAAAGGTGAAAGATTACGGCAGGGTGATAGAAAAGGTTGAGCAGGGCAGCAAAAGTCAGAGTGCAGCTCATAAGCCTAGCAGTGAATCAGAAGAGAACAAACAGGGCAGAAAACAATATAGAAAGTCATTAAAATTACGTCAGAATATGCTGAACTAAGAATTCAGTTTCAGGAGATGGCATTTGGTGCAAAAGGGAGAGAGACTCTGGAAGCAAATCAGACAGAAATATTTTCAGTCTCCTCAGGGAGATGATTTTGGCTGGAAAATGTTGCATAGATTGAGGGGGCAGTGTGGTTTGGAAGAGAGATATATTTGGGGAAATAGGAGACAACAGGAGATTGCCATAGGAATAAAAAAAAGAAAAAAAGCAGTGAAGTTTAAGGATTTTGTGCTGAAAAAAACTGTAGTGCGTTGAAAGTAGGAAATAGCAAGAGACTGGGTAGGAATGAACTAGGATAGGGAGAAGTTAAAAAAGGTCCTGAAGCCATATGACAAAGATGCAATTAACACAAGTAATGGAGAAAATGGGACAGCAAAGAGCGACGGAAAGGGGTAAAGAGAGCAATACATTTATATATGATTTGCATATATACAAGAATTATGAGACAATAGAGAAGCTGTCTTGGAAAGAAGGGTGGAATTTAGGAGCTGATACGCTCCTTACTGTTGCAAAATGAAGTAATGAAGGTAAATAGCTTCATCCAAGGTTGCAACTGCAAAGCATGAGAAGGCCTGTGACAAGACGCTTTGGAGCAGCCTTCTTCAGACTATCCTGAGCAAACACATCAGTGAACGGAAAAGCAGTGGATCGACCAGATTCTTCATTCTTTCTCAAGGAATGCTTTCTCACGCTTATCTGTTTTATTCTCATTTAACTTGTGCTTGAAAAATCTTTCATATAGAATTACACTTCAGTGTAAACTTCAAATTGACATTCTTTCAGCCTGAGTTAGCTGATATGGTAGGAGACATACTGCGGAAAATAACGTTGAAATTTGTATCTACATAATATTGAGCTGAAATTTCCTCACCTTCTTTGCATTCCTTTTCAGTTAGGGTGTCTGCAGCACCTGCTGGAATCCTCATTCCCTGCTGTTGGATATAAAAAGTACTAAGCAGACTTACTGTGCTAGTACCAAGTAGAAGGCAGTGGTAGTGAGATGGACAGAAAGTCCCAGGGCTTCGATGTATTGCGTGCACAGACTGTTAAAACAGAAATAGAAAAGTTAAGGTAAACCAGATACTTCATTAAAAATTAAATTTAACTTGAATTTGGCACCTGATGGATTGTTTCTCTCAGTTTAAAACCACACTCAGTGTGGTATGTTAGAGCAGAAGATGGTTTCTAACATATAAAAAACCATGACAGTAAGTCAGTGAAAAGTCCTTAACTTAGAACAAATTTCACAAGTGTCTAGCAGATCTCCAACAATTACCTTGTTTAATTTGGCTTGCCATTTTAAAATTAGTTTATTGCTCTGAAAGGATATCCTTTTTAAACTCAAATCCTGCTGAGAATTCATTTCTTTGTTACTCATTTTTGCCCCCATATGAACTAGTGGGGTTCCTCCAGATGTTGAACTTCTGGTGAATTGGATGTTCTCTACTTGAAAGGAAGGCTGATCGTGGGGAGGGTGGTGGAGATAAGGAGGAATTAATGCCACCTGTGGCACAGACCTCTGGGGAGAACGCGTTCACGTCCCATGGCAGCGTCACAGCTGTCTTAGCGGTCTTGTTTAGCCTGTGGCTGTGTCCCCCCGTGGCTCTCAGGGCTGAGGCACCCAGCTGGAGGCCTGCATCTTCTTCTCGCCTAACCCCGCAGGGCAGATGTCTGTGTTGATCAGCTTTGCAACGCGCCTGTTGTGGCTTTGGTTCCTCACCTTTGCAGTGGGGCTTTGTAGTACAGCTCTGTCCTACTGTGTTCTGGGAGAATTTATTCAGTAATGTCTGTAAAGTTATTTGGGAGATGTAGATAGAAGGTGCGAAAGACTTAGACAAGTGTTTTTCCTTTTGCATACCTTCATATATGAAATGCTGCTGAATGGGATGAAACGTGACAGTAAATGTTGATTTAAAACTGAATGAAAACGATTTCTCCTTCTTCAAGGCGATTAGGCTCCTGAGCTTACAAGCCATAGATCAGGGCTTGCGCAGTTTCATTTTCACACCTGCCTTCGCATCAGGGAGGTTGGAGGCCCTGGGAATTTGTGACCAAAACTGCCTCACTGGGAATTTGAGGTCAGGTTTGCAGCCTTTCCGGCTACCCTTCGGTTCCCCAGATGGCAACTGGAAACCTTGGCTGCTCAGACACTGGCCGCCTAGAAGGAGGCTCAGTATCCTATTAGTACTTACATTCAGTTGGGAATCCTTTCAACTTAGTATGCTTCCACAGCATTTTTTATCTTGATGAACTGGATTTTCCAGGAGTACAGCTTCCCACCAGCAAATTTTCAATCACTCAGCTTTGCATTGGCATGGCACCTTAAGATTTAAAAAAAGAATATTTAATTCAGCGGTTTAGTTTTCTGCCTGAGGAGCTGATCAGAGTTCTAGATGAGAGTTATTGTACAGTTTTAATTAAAAATTTTTAATTATGTTTATCACAAGAGAGACCATCAGATTTTTAAAGCTAATTTTCTCAATTTTAGCATTAGTAAAAGAATGAGGCAAGTATTATTAGAAAATATCCTTGTTTTTAAAGTTTTCAGCTAGGCTCTAGTTCAGATGTTTTTTCTTGTGTTTTTGAAGGTTTTTTTAGATTCTTTGGGAAAGACCAAATTGTCTCATGCTGTCAGCCTCATTCATTGGTTTCAGTGGATCATGCCAGTTTATAAGAGTAGGGGATTGACTCTGTGTGTTTATCTTAGGAGAGGTCAGAATTTGTAAAGGTTTTTCTCCGCACTGTAAGCCATCCACATGGGCGAATCTGTAGCAATGCTGCAGTTACACTGTGCTTACACCGATCAAAAATAGATGCCTACATTGCAGAGATGTACACATGCTCTAGCCATTTCAAATCTTTACAGAAGGCAAGAGGAATAGACATTTCTAGCATGAGATTCATCTCACTAAAGGAAACATCTAACAAGGGTTGCTTTTACCGTACCCCAGAAGTGTTTGCTTTTTGACAAGCTGAGACATAAGTAATATAAGACCCCATCTTAACACTTTGGACTTTGTTTTTAATGGAGCATTTTGAGTTTGCTGGAGGTTGGGATTTCCTCTTGTTCTCTCACTCATGGCTGTTGCAGGGTGCCAGTACTAGTGTTATGCTTCTGTGCTGAATCAGAGAATCTGGAGAAATTTTGCAATCACCACTGAATTTGCTCTTACCATCCTTCCCTGCTCTGTTTAGTTGAGTTGATAAGTGAATTTGACAGACGTGTTCACTGCTCCCAGAAATCCTGCTGGCAATGGCAAGATTCCCTAGGGTTGGCTTAGGAGCTCACGCTGTTGCATTTAAGTGCTATTCAGAAAAGGAGCAACTTGTGCTTCCAGCTAACACATGCCACTAATTGCAGCGTGCCGTTAGCCAGCTGGGTGGCTGAATTGTTCCTTCTTTAACAGCCCAGTGCCATATAACCTTCTGGTAGAGAGGATCAATGTTTAAGACAAAAGACAACCTAGTTTGCCCTCTGATGTGTGCTGAGGGTGCACCCTGCTTCACTGTTGTGCTGAAGAGAGTATCCACTTTAGTCCACCTTTTGCTCCTGTATCCACAAACAACCCTTTAAAGCCACCTAATCACTCCGTGAGGGTATTTTCTGACCATTTGCAAAGATCAGATGCTTGGGTAATGCTGTACCATTATTTGTAAGCCCTAGCAGAAATGAAAATAAACAAAAGAAAGCTGAGGTTTACCCTCATTTGTCTTGATCTAGAAATGTCAAATAAACATGTTATCTCTCTGCAGGTCTCAGTCGGTTGTGGATCCTGGGGTGCTGAAACGCATGGATAAGAATGAGGAAGAAAACATGCAGCCTTTGCTTTCACTTGACTAACAGTACCTGAGCATTGGACGTGAACTGAGGCGGAAGGCACTGCCTCTCAGCAGCAAGCAAACCGTTGGGAAAGAGAGTACAAGCTGGCA